AACAGTATTTTTTGAAAAATAATTTTACTCAAAATAAATAAATAATTTAATATATAAATAATGTAAATAATATCATATATAATAATATAATCGGGATCGGGGTGGGCAGGGACCTCAATCCCCATCCCCGTCCCCACCCCACCAAAGCAAGAAGTCAGTTCCCCATCGAGGATGGTGAAAATTGCCATCCCTATTTAAGGTTGGTTTTGGATTGGTAGTTTCAATCCATTTAATTCATACACTTGCTTTATTAGATATTGTCAAAATAGGTACAAAAGAGATTTAAGAGGATATAAAAGATTTATTAATTAGGAGAAAGGAAATGCTACAAACATTGACTATTCATGTGCATGCGAGAGATAGAGAGATAGAGTGATAGAGTGAGAGAGTTTTAAGAATGATTTACTAGAGAGAATAATGTTAGAGAGTTTTAAGAATGATTTACTAGAGAGAGTTTTAAGAATGATTTACTAGTGAAAAGTTATAATTTAATTTAAAAGCAAATAACCATGAGTGTGAGAAATTAGAGGAAGAGGAGGCCATGTGACCAGGTAAGAAGGACTCTTGGCCTCCCTCTTTCCTCTATCTAATTCTGATATAGATATGTGGACAAACATCTATAGATATGATACACAAAGTGCCATATAAGGCATAAGACCTAAGCAGGTTTCACACCCAACCCAATAAGATCCATGGAAGCAAGTCTAGTTCATTTTTCGAAATCATGTCATTTTACTAGTTAAGGTTAGATGTTGGGTCAATCCTCTCCATTGCACGCCCTAATTATCTAACATAAGTTATTTCATTAATTGCGATTTCAATAAAATTTGCTCCAATGCTTATTTAAAAGAATTATTATGTATACTATTTAAAATGTAATTGTCCACATGAATCCTTTTGAGAGTGTAATCTGTCATATATAAAAAGAGAATGCAATGTACTTGATCATAAAAGAATAGGTAAAGTTAGACAATAAGGAGATTTGCGATTCACAACTTCAATATTTTTGTGGCCCAAACTCTACATGGAGATGTAATTTCAGTTCATTATAGTTTATGTTCTTTTGCCAAAAGAAAATGCAGTTGCCCTTGCTAACTTATTCTTTCTCTTCCTTGTACTACTACCCAAGGTTTTAAAAATGACTTAGAAATGGAATTGCTTTGGCCATCGTTTTTTTGGATCGGCGGTTTTATCGTTTGGGTCAAAAGGTTCAAATGGTTTAAACACTTTTACAGGTGATATTTCATCTTATCCACTAGACTGAAATATTAGGGTAAGATGCATATAAATATCATGAGAAAGAAAGTTTGAGAATGAGAGTGAGATTTGAGAAGCTGTTGGCTGAGAAAGTTTAGAAAAGAAAGAAGACTAGGAGAGAAGAAGGAGGAGGAGGAGGTCACTTGTAGCAACGACGATGACGGTGACCTATAGTGACGACAACAAATGGTGACCTACAATGGCAACAACAATGACAAACTACAGTGGCAATGGCGGCAACTAGAGTTGTAAATCGAGCCGTACCGTGTTGGCATGTGGGCCGAGTCGGGCCGTACTTCCCTCCCCTAGGATACTTTGGGGGGTCGGCTCTACCCGTGGCATGACACAAGCCCGCAGGACCAGGCCAGGCCACAAACCGGCCCAAGCCATGTTTTTTTTTTTATTTTGAAAAAAATAATGAAAAAGTTTAGCATAAATTAAAAAATAGACAAAAAAAAAGATCTTAAATTTTGATTTTATATGAATTTTGATGTATACAATATTGTTTATATGTGCAATAATAAAATTGAATTTTTATGTATAAAATATGAAATAATATAATATTGTTTATATATGCAATAATATAATAAAATTTTATTTTATATGAATTTTGATGTATACAATATCATATGGGCCATGGACTTGAAACCCCAAGCCTGGCATGGCCCATATGATCGTGATGTGCCTGGCATGACCTACAATCTGTTATGACGTTCTGCTCGTGACATTGCCCGATTTACACCTCTAGCAGCAGTGAACTACAACAGCAACGACGACGACGGAACTAGATATGAGATTTCTCTCAAATCTCACACACTCTCTCTCACAGATTTCTCATCTAGATTGCTCTCCCAAATCTCTAAATCTGAGATCTCTCAGTTCTCTCTCACACATATCTCTTGACTAATCTCTCTCTTTATTAGATCTCAAATCAGAGAGATACGAAGTTCCGAACTTCTCTTTTTTATTCTTGTTTTGTCATAAGTAATAAACTACGAACTGTTGTCTGGGTCAAACGGTTCAGCAGTCAAACCGTTTGAGTCAACGGTTAATTGACCAATTCAATGGTTTTTGGCTAGGGACTGGGTTTGGGGTAAATCAAAACTGGTCGCCTGAACAGTTCCCAATTTGAACGGTCCAACCGTTCGGATCAATGATGGATTGAAAACATTGTTACTACCCAATCCCTTAAGAATGTTGTGCTTTTTTAATTTAAAAATAAATATAAAATATAAAATAGGAAGCTAATTAAACTTGTTCGTAATCAATCTTGTTTATCTCAAACTAGGAAATTAAGCATAACCACTTCCTTAAAGAACATGGGCATCTTTTGGCACCAACCTATGCATTGCATGGTTCTCTCCTAGGGATGGCAATGGGGCGGGTTTTGTAAATTCTAGACCCTAACCGGCTCCCTAGACCTCTCGATCCATACCCTCCCCAAACCCCTTAGTGGGTTGGATTTTCATAATCCAAATCCTCTCCATATAAGAGAATGCAAAACCCTAACAAACCCTAACCTCCTTGCATTTAAGGGTGGGGGTGAGCAAATGGGTAGGTTCTACCCGGAACCGGATGGAACCGACCTCGACTGGTCTTGAACTGACCCTACCCGATTTGGTTCCTGGGTCTAGGGGTTTACTCTACCCGAACCAACCCGATGAACCAACATTAGTTGGCCTTGGAATCGGACTTGCCTTGAAATAAACCCCATAATATTTTTAAGGATGTGAAGATTTGAACCCAACACTCATGGTTACAAAAACCATGGTCTCACTTGACCATTGAGTTACTTAAGTGATTTGATCATTTGTTTTCATTCCAATTGAATGTGTATAAAAATATTGTAAAAAGTAATATTTGCAAAACTTAAATTATAATGACAAATCTTGAACCATATATTAATATATTATGATAATTTTCATATTAAATTACTCATTTTAACCAAAAAAGATAATATAAGTTTTAAACTATATATTATCATTATTGAAAATTAAGTATTTTAAGGACATGTTTCATTTTTTTTGAAGGGGGAGAGTACAAAAAGAATAGGTTCCATGGGTAGACCTTGGAATTGACCTCGGAACCACCAAGGCCATAATCAACCTTGGAACCGACCTTCATAGGGTAGGTTCCAGTTCCAAAAACCTAAAGCCTACTAGGTTCTCCATGGAACCAGACCAAACCGGCCCATGCTGACCCCTAATGGAGTGGGTTGGATTGGCAAGTTGGGTCCAAAACCCACACTAATTTAATTTCCTATATATATATAAGTAATAAAATTATGCTAGAAGCTACTATCATGCTATAGGTTTTGCCGGCTAAATGTTAACTTCTAAAAGAAAACTAAATATAACAATTTATTTAGCACAAAAAAATACAAGTATCTTTTCAATTATTTTGATCATATATATACATATTTTTTTATAAAAAATAAATAATATAATAAATTTACAAAAATACAATATAAATAATATATTTACAAATAAATAAATAACATATATATATATATCTGTGTGTGTGTTATATATTTATATGAATAAATAAATAGCATATATATTGGATCGGATCTCCTCGAATTGGATAGAGGTGATCCAAATCCGATTCAATTTATGATCGAATCCTATTTGATCCAAAGATCCGAAATTGACAAAATAGGATCAAATAATAATAGTAATAATAATAATAATAATAATAATAATAATAATAATAATAATAATAATAATAATAATAATAATAATAATAATAATAATAATACAAAAAATCCGATTGACTCTTGATGTAGGGTGATTTGGCCCGACCTAATAATAGGGGGACACGTGGGCACGACCTAACTAGCAGGATGACAGTTTAGTCCAATGCACCAAGTCTACAACGGATCGAGCTTGAATAACCAAACCACATCGGGGCAAGTCCACCTCGGGACGAGTTCACCTCGGTGCATAATCGCATCAGGACCACCTCGGTCCCAAGGCACTTCGGCATTCGTACCAGGTCGGATCCAAAGGGCACTAGCTCAGGTAATACTGACCGACCACTGCATGGCAACCCGAAGATCTCGCCACCAGATTCCACGCCTCACAGGATCACGCCTCGTAACAACTAACATTATCTCCCCCGTCCGATTCGGGCGGAAGTGATGAATCTTATCAGTTGGCAGCGTTATCCCCAATTAACGCGGAAACAGACCTCATCGTAACGAGGATCCCGGAACCGCTCCGCGAAACCCGTAGAGTCTCCACTATATAAAGGCTCCATCCCTCGGGGGTGAAAAGTACGTGTAATCTCTGCTCTCTAGCTCTCTTGCATTCTAAGCTATTATCAGCTCGCAACCAAGTATTAACTTAAGCATCGGAGTGAACTCGCCGGGTAAGCAACCCTGGGTTCTCTGATTCACTTTTTGTAGATCAACCGAGTCCATCGTCTACTGGAAGTCAAATCACCTCCATCTGGGAGTAGCTGGATTGCGCTACATCAACTCTGATTGGCAAGATGAACCAAACAACAATGATTGGAATTCTACTCTAATTCCTGTGTGAATCAAATAGGCATTAGAAATAGGTGGTTCTGATTCTCATTGTTAGAGATTTTCAATTCCGATTCCAATTCGAGAACTAACCGCGAATCAAACGACCTGGGTTTCACCTCCGGCTCGGTCGGAGTTTGGACTTGGGTTAACCTTAAACCCGGCCGAGCTTGCCTGACTTCATACCATTAGACCGATGAAAAGCAATAGGATTCCCTCCCTGGTCCCTGCACTGCAAATCTGCAATAGTGTAATTGGTGACGGTCAGGTCAATTCCTTGGTGGTAGCCAAATAAGTACCGGACGGCCAACGTACGTAATAATGCTTTTCTTCTACGATTATCACTCTCGAGTCACCCCTCTGCTCTGCGTCGTCTCGTCACTCGTCACTCGCCACTCGCCGCTGCGAAATCTCTAATGCTCCATCTCTTTAACAGAGGCCCTCAATCTACTCCAAATTTACGTTTCAAACCATCCTAAACCCACCGCCATTCGTCGTCCCATTCCCTCCATCCTCTTCAACTACTCGTCTCCTCTGCTTCCTGCACACTCTAACTCTTTCAGGGGAGCCTCTCCATATTCCACCTCATAAATACATGGATCCTCTCTCTGCTCTCCGCGACTTCACCACTCGTGGTGAGTTGGATAAAATCGTCCGTGTCGGCGACGAGTTTCGTTTCGGCAACGATTATGCTTTCCCCTGCACTGCCGAAACCGCCTACCGATCCAAGCAAGGTAATCTCTATACCCTCGAGACCCTTGTTTATTATGTTAAGAACCACCACATCAAGCACACGGAATATCTGCAGAACTCTCGCACGCAGAAAATCCCAGCAGTTACCTTACCCGACCGTAAACCTTTGCTTGAGTACCTCCAAGGCAAGGTTTCCTCTAACGATGCAATAGAATTCGTCGTCCTTCAAAACCCTAAGATATCCGATGCACTCTCCATCGACGTTGAGGAGTATCGACCCGAGGACCCCGGGTTGGTCGGAAATCGGGCACCCGCCGAAGAAGAGGAAGACGAAAAATCTAGGGTTAGGGTTCCTGAGAAGGTCGATTACATCTCGATGATTAACGCTCTCGAGAGGCCCTTGAAGGATCGGGAAATGCTGTTGGAGTGTAGGCACAGAGATTTCTATAGTGTTCTCGTCGCTTCAACGAGGCGGGAGGAGGAGCGGCAGCGGATGGAATCGCAGCAGAGAAAGGATGGATTGGTTGCCAAGAGTAGGTTAATGGGAGCGGATGAGAGGGGCTTAGGGTTTTGGAAGGATGGGGAGGAGTTGGGATTTGATGGGACGCCGAAGCCCAAAATGCACTTAAAGGGGAGCAAGATCGGCGAAGGGGTGCCTATAATTATGGTCCCAAGTGCATTTCAGACATTGATTACTATTTATAATGTGAAGGAGTTCTTGGAGGATGGTGTGTTTATCCCTACCGATGTGAAGGTGAAGCAGATGAAGGGGGCGAAGCCGGATTGTGTTACAGTGCAGAAGAAGTTTAGTCGTGATCGGGTGGTTACTGCATATGAGGTCAGGGATAAGCCGTCAACTTTGAAGGCAGAGGATTGGGATAGGGTGGTTGCTGTTTTCGTATTGGGGAAGGAGTGGCAATTCAAGGACTGGCCTTTTAAGGATCATGTTGAGATATTTAACAAAAGTAAGTACATGGGACTTATATTTGGTTCTAACTTCTATTTTTTATTTTTTCCAATGAGCTTTTACTTTGAAACTTACTGATTTATTTGGGTTGTTTAAACCCTATCAACGTGTTGAGTTAAAGGGCTATTACATGTGGGTTCATTGACTTTGTAGTTAAACTTGGTTATATGATCCATTTCTTGTGGTGTATATGTGGTAATCTTGGTGATAGTAATGACTCATATGATGGATGTGGATTGAAAGTTGGGCAAGATTATTTTCTATCAGGTTAAATTTTTAGTATATACATTTATTTTTTCACAGGTTTCTAATAACCCAAAATAATTTCACAATTTAAGATTCAATTTGATTTGGTTCAACCTTTTCTACAATTGGGGATACAATTATGATTTTTCAAGCATTGAATTGCTGAGGTGAAATGTTTTTTAAATCTCATGCAGTTATTGGATTTTTTATGCGATTTGAAGATGACAGCGTTGAGTCTGCAAAAATTGTGAAACAGTGGAATGTGAAGATAATCTCGGTGAGCTCACACACTTCCACCACTTTGTTATTGTTTTTGACTGTCTAGAAGACTAATTACTGAATTGATGATTTTATCCTTATTACCTCTGGGAATTCCATTATTAACACCTTTCTTTGGCAATGTTATTTTTGAAATTTCAATGGGCAGATTAGCAAGAATAAGAGGCATCAGGATAGGGCTGCAGCACTTGAGGTGTGGGACAGGCTAGAAGCATTTGTGCGGTCACGATCACATACTTGAAGTGCCCAAATTTGAGTAGTAGTTGTAAGTTTCTGTTTGAGCCTTTAACTATCCATCATTTGTTGTTGGACATTAATTGTGAACTTTCTGAGTAATTAAATTCCTTCATGCACAATGAATTAATCACAACATTGTATCTCTCTTCTATGCATCATGCATAGGTTTGCAGGCATGCATATTTAGTATTGTCACAAATAGGGCTGCAATTGGGGCTGCTTAGCCTGAACCCAACCCAAAAAAGTTGGGTGGGTTGGAAAGTATGAATCCAACTTAACTTTGGGTTGTGTTTGGGTCGAGGCCTTCGCTAATCCAATCCTTCTTGGACTTGGATAAACATGTATTTATGTATGTATGTACTTATTCATATATGCATATCACCAGAAAATGTATGTATGTACATGCATGTATGTATATTTGCAACCATGCATCAATAAATGCATGTATGTAGGTATGTGTGTATGTATGCATTTTTTATCTATCTTATGCATGCATGTATGTATAGCCAACAATTTAAGTTTAAAAGCATGATAACTATGCCTTTTTATATATATAAAATAATGCTAAACTGAATTAACCTCAACCCTTGAGTCTATGAAATAAGAACATTTGGAAAAAGGAATTTGAGAAGTTGGGCCATCCCAAACCCAGCCCAACCTGAAACTTTTGAGTTGGATTAGGTTACGTTTAGGGTTGGGGGTTCAACAACTTAGGTTGGGTTGAGATTGACCACAACCTGACTTGCATCTCTAGACACAGAGGAGTTATTGTTAACTGTTTTGGTTCAAATGTAAATGTCTACTTCATATATTAACATCCCTTTTACATATTGAGCAGGATTTAATAATGTTTTTCTTCATCAAATTCTTGCATGGGAAGTTAGAATTCATGAATCTTTGAAAGCTAGGAGCACATTGATGAGATAAATATATGCCTTAATGGTTTAAATTTTTTGAAAGATTTCAGAACTTGGTTATATATTGATAAAATATCTCAGCTATATTCGTTGTGATCTTATTTAATTAATTTATTTTTCATGCTCACATATGGTTGTTTTCAATATATGTTTATTTAGTTTTTATTCATAAGCTCATAGTATTGTAATAAAAGGGTGTGATGAGTTTAAAAGTACTTTAGCTTATTGCAGTGTGGTTAGTTTTAGGGGCATGATCCACTTTAGGGTGAGTGGGTGTATAAGTGGATGTCTTAGACATAAAGGAATGACTAAAGGGAAAGTGCACTAGCAATGAATAGGTGTTATGATGCAGACTTATCGAAAAGAAGGTATTATGATTCAGCTTGATGTTTCCAACAACTTCAGTTCTGTCGTTCTGATGATGGGGTCTAGGAGAGAGATTCTGGACACTTCATTAGATCTTCTTTGAGTGGCAAGTCCAGCCTACACATCCTGGTAAATATAGAGTTTAATGTATCTTATTGCATATCTACAATGGACAACAGAAGCTAGGAGAATGACATGATGTAAAGCTATTTGAATCACTTAGTTTTCTATGATGCCCATATATGGATGCCAATATGGACACTGGATATGTGAAATAGGGATATGACTGCTCATTTGCTAAAATTGTAGACACAGACACAGGTCGTGCTTCTCTTATCTAGTCTTTAAGCTAAATGTCATTTCTCTAGACTTCTGACTCACCAAATTTAATTAAATTTGAACCACACTCACCTTTGAAAAATAGTAACATCATTTGTACTGCACTCACCTTGATTACCATTGCCTTTTGAGTTTTGAGTGTTTGGTTATCTCAAAGTCAGGCAAGCTTTTGGAAGTCCCTAAACTTTGGCCTCATTCCCCAGTCCCAATGCAGTGACAGCAATCAGTGAGAATATATAATGCATCTCTGTCTTTTAAATGACCAATGGGAGTAGACCTGTTCATGGGCTGGGCTCGGGCTTGGCTTTTGCCAAAATTTGAATGGGGCCCAGCCTGAAGCCCGAGCCTGACACAGTGAAAGTCAGGCTCGAAGCTTGGCCCGTGAACAGGTCTAAATGGAAGGCATTGGTGACTTGGTGGGGAGGCTTGATAAAACACCATGAGTGAGGGAGTTTATGTCCTGTAGAGAGGTGTCTTTTTTTCCAGCCCAAGAGCTTCTGCCTGAACCACTCAATGGGAAGGTCCCAAATAGCAATGGATTTGTAATTCACACCCAATGGGGGGCTGTGATACCTTGCTGGTAAAGACCCCATGCAGTAACCAAGGGTGCTAGTCAATTCATTATAGGAGGGGGACCTCACCAATCAGAATCAACTGTTTCTTCTATAAATTGATCTTCAAGCCTGAGGCAGCCTCAAAATCAATGAATAGGCATCGAAGGAATAGTATGTTTGCTTGCATGCCCCTAGTGAATATCATGGTGCTGTTAGCTAAGTGTAAAAGGGGATTAAGGGGAATTTGTAGACCTGCCTTTCCTACAGAGTAACCCTGTGTATAGCCCCTCTCTACTGCCTTATTAATCAGTTTGCACAATGGATCAAGAATGAAAACAAGAATGGGAATAAAGGGTCCTCTTGTCTTAAGTCCTTCCCCCATGAAATAGACTTAAGGTGGAATTTGTAGACCTGCCTTTCCTACAGAGAAACCCTGTGTATAGCCCCTCTCCACTGCCTAATTAATCAGTTTGCCCATTGGATCAAGAATGAAAACAAGAATGGGGATAAAGGGTCCTCTTGTCTTTAAGCCCTTCTCCCAGGAAATAGACTTCAGGGGGTTCCATTAAAGATTAATGATGATGAAGTACATGGGTGATGGGTCCCTTCCTTGAAAAGTTAGAAACCCCTTCCTTCCTGGGATATAGTCCACAAAGCTCCACTCAATGTGATTGTAAGCTTTTTCTAAGCCAAGCTTATAGACAACACTGGAAACATCTTGTCTAACTTTCGAGTCTACAGACTTGTTGGTAAATGACTAATGAGAGGGCTATCAGGTATTGGCTGCCTATCCACAAAAGCTCCTTGTGAAGGTAGAACTAGATGACCTGCCACGAGAGAGAATATTAGAAATAAATGCGCATGTTTCTCCAGGTTAGAGAGCAAATGTATATTTTTTCTTCATTTTTCTCTTTTTTTTGATAAGTTTTCTTCTTTTGATAAAATTTTCTTTTTTCCTTGTGACTTGAAGGTTTTCAAGTAAAAACATGCATTGAATTTCAGGAGATGTGCACTATTTTATTGACAGGATCATGTTTCGCTCAGTAAACAGAAATTTACAGAGCTTATCATTAAACTTGCAGCAGGTGGACTGGTGGACTGGTGGAGTTTAGATATTACAAGCAGTTGGAAGTGTTGATGCCTGAGTCTGTTTGATTTTGAGCCCCAGGGCAGGGATGATGGACCACCATAAAAGACTTATATAGGCATTGTAGCAGTGACCCAACATGCTGGCATGAACAAGCTGTTCCCAGCTTTCGGATAATGTTGTTGATGAATTCCCTATAAATTCTTGGGGACACGCTGAATGCTAACCAGTATGGTGGTACAACTTAATTGTGCAGCAACTCCTACCCATAACATGGTTAGAAGGTTTCTTTCCACTACCAGACTCATCTTTGACCTTCCAGCTTTAGGGTCCATTTGATAAGTGAAACTGGGTTTGCCTGAAATGCTCAAATGAGAAGGCTTTAAGTAGCTATGGTTGGGATTTTTTTTTCGAAAGAAGGTAAGGTAATTTTATTGAAATAGAAGCATAGAATACAGAGGGACCCCCACTAAAGTAGCAACTGACAGAATACAAGACCCCAAACTAAATTACAGCTCAAACAAACTTCTAGACCTCAGCTGGGCTCCAAGCACATTGGTCTGGAGACCTTTCACAACTGCTGTCCAAGAGACTAATTTTCCTACGGTACAAGAAATCAGACAGTCTATATCCTTTGATTTGTTTTGAAAAATTCTTTTATTTCTTTCCACCCAGATAGTACTAATCACTGCTGAAGGAATAGACAGCCACACACTTTTTGCCACCTTGGACTGTCCTTGGAGTTCCCATCTCCATAACAGGTCCAACACATTAATTGGCATGGCCCAGGAGAGCCCCAGAGGAGAGGAAGTGCCCCCATATTGCTGCTAAAATAGGAAAATGTATAAACAGATGGTTGTTGTCCTCCTCAGCTTGACCACACAGCTCACACAACAGGTTTTGAATCTGAATTCCTCTTCTGACCAGATTCTGTTTAGATAGGTTTCTATCTAAAGCAACAGCCCAAAGCAAGGCATTTACTTTGGATGGAGGAATCTGGCTCCATATTTTATCAGCAGTGACATCAGCTCTATCTCCACCTGATAGAGTTTTGGCAAAGGAGTTCACTGAAAAAAACCCATATGCAGTCTAGTTCCAGGTCCAGGTATCTTCTTCCAACAGGTTCAAAGATTTGTTTGGAACTTTGGATAGCATTTCAAACAGCTCCACCATTTGATCCACTTCCCAATCTTGAAAAGCTTGTCTGAAAGAAGGGCTCCAGTAAGTGATATTATCTCTCACTTCACAGCACTCAAATACCACTGCATCCTGATTCTCTGCAAGTTGGTATAGCTGGGGAAATAGCTCTGCTAAAGACCTGCTATTACACCACGTCTTTCCAGAATTTCAGTTGATGGCCAGAGCCCAGTTTAGGAGACTGACCACTGTTTAGAAGAGGAAAAATTTCCATAATTTTCTTCCATAAAGAACACCCCAGGGAAGAGAAATTTGAGATGGTTACCCAGTGACCTCTGCCAGTTTCATACTTGGCTGCTAGTAACTTCCTCCACCAACGGTCTCTTTCTTTTCCAAATCTCTATATCCACTTCCTCAATAAGGCATTGTTAAAAGCCTTCAGTTTCCTTACCCCTAATCCTCCTTTTTCTTTTGGAGTACACAATTGATCCCAATTGACTAGGTGGATTTTCTAATCTTTGGGCCACTTTTGCCGGGATTGGGAATAAAGAGAGGAAGTAGTAGGGTAAATTAGAGAGGGAACTCTTTAGCAGGGTAATTATACCTCCCAAAGACAAATATTTAGCTTTCCATGAGGCCGGCTTCCTTTCTAACCGTTCCACCACTGGGTCCCACACTGAAGAGGAAGTGCACTTAGCCCCCAAAGGAAGCCCTAGGTACATAGTAGGCAGAAAGCCGGTCTGACATGCAAGCACTTCTGCTAGTGCTTAGTTCTCTATCCTTCCAATTGGAATTACTCTGCCCTTTGCCCAATTTACTCTCAGACCCGACACAACTTCAAACCAACTCAACACCCCTAGAAGAACTCCCAACTGGTCCACATCAGCATCAATGAAGCAAAGTGTGTCATTTGCAAATTGAAGCATTTCAACCTTCTCCCCTCCCGGAATTGTCTCAAAACCTTTCCACAGTCCCTCTTCCCCAATTTGGTTGACAAAAATAGTTAATACCTTCATTGCATAAATGAAGAGAAGGGGGGATAGGGGATCCCCTTGCTGCAAACCTCTAGAGCTCTTGAAGAAGACAGCCGATTCTCCATTCACTAGCACTGAAAATTTTGGAGAAGTAATACACACCTTAATCCAGTTCATCCATTTTTGGTTGAAGTTCATCCTCTCCAACACAAAATCCAGGCAATTCCAGTTGACATGGTCATAGGCCTTTTCCAAGTCCAGTTTACATGGCAGCCTTGATTTACCCTCCCTTTTCCTTGTGTCTATCAGCTCATTTGCCACCAAGACACTACTATCTAGCATTTGTCTGCCCGACACAAAAGCAAATTGGTTTTTTGCTATCACAGTACTAAGGACTTTTTCTAACCTCTTTGCTAGCACCTTAGCCATGATTTTATAAAAACTATTCAACAAACTAATAGGTCTGAAATCCTTGATGTTTGCTGCACCTTCCACCTTAGGAATTAAGGAAATGAAAGTAGAATTCAGGCTTCTTTCCAAAGCCAGCAGTTTGATGGAAATCTTGAAACACCTTCAACAGATCCACTCTCACCACCTCCTAGCACTTCTTATAGAAAAGGCTAGTGAGACCATCCGGCCCTGGGGATTTATCAGCTTCCAAATTCTTTACCACTTGCCAAATTTCCTCCTTTGAGAAGGGGGCTTCCAGCTCCCTATGCTAAATATTTGAAATCCTCCTAAAGTTTAGGTCAACCGGGAGAGGTCTTCTAACCCAACTTTCCTTGAACAAATCTGAGAAATATTTGGTGGCAATATTTTTCATTTCTACCCCATTCTCTCCCACCTGATCATCAAGTTCTAGCCTCTCAATCTGATTAAGGCTGCATTTGGCATTCCTTATTTTAAGGACTATCCCCTTTTCCTTGCACTTGCCATCTTGTGAAAAATGCTAGAATTTTTATCCCTCGCTTTAAGCCATTAGACCTTGGTTCTTTGCCTCCATTTCAGTTCATCAGTTCATCCTTAAAGGCTAGTTTGTCTAGAGTCAAACAATTTTGCTGCCAATCTTCTTTTCCTTTCTTCTTCTGCTATTGGGCCAGATTCTTCAGCTAAGTCCACTTCCTTAATTACTTCTAAACACTTCTTTTCTGATTCTGTTTGGGATTTTAGGATGGTGAAAATGGACGAGTGAACAATTTGATTTATAAAATCTAATTGCTAGAGATGAGACAAAATGCAATGGTTACATAGGTTATCAACTTCTGTTGTCTGAACAGTCTGTAGTAAACAATTCAAGCTTGCTAAATATTAAATTGCATCTTTCTTTTTGTTCCTGTTCTTAATAGGCATATTCATGAAATTAAAGTTGTTATTATCATCGGCTCAAAAGCTTGCCAATTAAGAAACACTTTGCTTTCTTGAAAAGAATATGTTTTTTTAATCACAACTGCTGTCTTCTCTGTTTCCATGATCACTGATGAAAATGCACCCATTTTACTCAAGTTTCGTTTGCACCCCCTCCAACGTATTAACCAGATTCCTGAAATTAGCTGTCAGATTCATCCTAATTGGGCGTTACACCAAGCAGTACCTCAAACAGATTTTCATTCACATGGCACATATGCAATTGAGGTGAGGGTGGGATTCAAGGCAGATTTCGAAAATGGCATTGCATAACGCGGCAATAGCACGGGATTCCCTTTCAGTCTCTCTCCCTCTCCCTGGCGAAACTAGGACTACATGTTATTCATTTTTCCTAATCTATCTATGTTTTGCTTGTCTGTACATTTCTGATCTGATGTTATGCAGTCAATGTGGAATCAGAAGAATGTTAGAACGTCACCCACCTCTTCTGGGAGGTAGACATAACCACTTGATACATCAGTTTCTTCGTTTCGATTTTCGTCAAGTTTGTGTATAATTTTCCTTGTGTATGAATATGAATAGTTTTATTTTTTGGCAAGAAAGTGTGATAAACTGTACACTTGAAAGATTGAGAACAAAACCGCATTTTTTAATAAATACGTCCATTAGAATTTAGAACAATGTCATGCGTGTAAAATTAGAGGGTAAAAGCCTTGGACACCGTGAATTCTCTAGGTATCGTAATAGGGCTCATATTCAAAATTTGACCATGGATATGGCGCAAATGACGCTGAAGATAATGAAATGGCGAAACAGGATTTATGTTGTCAGTTGCCAACCCTATATATGTCTAGATCTAGTACATGGTACATACGGATGGTCTACCAAGAAAGTCAAGGATTAGGTGCTAGTGACAGAAAAAGTCATCATGAAGAATAGAAGAATGCAAAAGCTTGGATTTTGCTGGGGTATGTAGTAATAGTATACATAGTCGGTTCGGATTGGTTTCAAATTGATTTATAATTAACTAAACCATAACTGAACCGACCAGTTGGGTTTCATAACTAACCAATTTGAAACCGATCCAAGTTTTTTGAAAATTGACCATAATGGGTTGAGCCGGACCGGTTTGGTTGGTTTGAACCATTTGATGAACAACCCTATTATTTAGGGTAAATTGCAGATGCATGCACTATATTTTGGGGTTAGTTTCACTTTAAGGTCTAAACTTTAAAATGTGTCATTTCAGTACTAAATTTCTAAAAATATATATTAAGTTCAACTTTAACTCTGTTAAACTAATTCTCTGCTTTTTGTTCACGTGTCTTTTACTTTTGGACTTCGGATGCAAATCAATGGTGGCAAAATAGTCAAAAGTGAGACTACCCCCAATGAATAGACCAAGGTGAGTTTATTTTAGGGAAAACTCCTGATTAGTATCTTGTATTTTGTGCTTAGTGATATATTAGTTTCTAAACTTTAAAATACGATAATTTAATACCCAATTTTTCAAAACGTGTCAACTCAGTACCTATCGTTAACTATTTGTTAACCAGCCGTTAAGTGGTATTTGAAAAAGACACCAGTGCCTTTTAAGTGTCACCTAATTTCTTTATAAACCATCCAAGTGTTGACAAAAAAAGTAACAATCCCAAATCCTTGCCTCTTCTATTTAAGAAAGTTGGGGGTCATCTATTAGTAGACATTCTAGTGACCCCAACTTTTTTAAATAGAAGAGGCAATGGTTTGAGACTGTTAATTTTTTTTGTCAATGTTTGAATGGTTATTGGTTGATAAGGAAAATTAGATGACACTGAGACACTCAAGGGCATTTGTGTCTCAACATGAGCACTTTCATAATTTTACCCCTCATGCAATTTTCCCTTTTATCTCTTGCCCCTTGCATATATTTTCATATTAAAGGTAAAAGGTCTAAAGCATTAACTTATGACCGAGCGAAGCCTTACAATTGAAATTTCCTATTGCAGTTCTCCCTATTTCAACGCATGCAATTAGGGAGAAAAGTTTACTTCTACGTACGAGAGAGAGAGAGAGAGGTGTTAAAAAATTTCTCTGCATGTAACTTGTGGAACCTGCCCGGTCAAAGTTGCACTATTTCTTTCAAAATTCAAATCAGCTCCCCACATTGTCCTACATCACATCTCCACCGTGTATTGGAAACATCTTTTGATGATGACATCATTATTTTTGGTATTATCATCAAGAGATATTTCTAGTAATACATGGCAGGAATATGCTGTAGGACGCTGTGGGAGGCAAATTGTGAGGAGCTGAATTAAACTCCACAAAGTACCCTTTTTGCAAACATTTTGAACTCCAATTCCTTGACATTTTTTCCTTATTTTATAAGGTATATAGCACTTATACTATTATACAATTCTATCATTATATGGTTATTGGCAAGGCGAGGATGCATTAGGCCTCATTTGTTTTTTTGGTAAGTGGGGGTGAATAAGGTGGTCAGTGCAAGAATTGATTAATTTATTTACCTAAGTAGATATAAGTGTTTTTCGGGAAACATTTGTCCTAAGCACATTTACCCAGATAAGTGGCTTTCTGAAAAACAAACAAGAAGGCTTTAAAAGGACCCCTCAGTGGATCCCCGTAGGAATGCACCTTTAAAGTCTTGTTAAAGCAGGATTCTATGAAACCCTGATTTATGTTGGGTTTATGTTTTATCTGTGGGGCCTGTGATGTATGAACCCTTTATTGACGTTTTTACTTCCACCCAAAAAGAAAAAAAGAATGGAGAAGTACGGATACACCGGATGCAGAATTCTGAATTCCAGCCCCCCTACTATTAGCCCTCTCCCCCTATAAATCATATCCTGCCCGTGAATTTGGCATCAATTCACGGTCAGGATGCATTCCCCCTGTACTTTGGAGTTATAAAATTCTGATCTGGGGTGATTGGTCATTCTCCCAAAAAAGAATGCACCTTTGCACCGTAAAAGTAAGCTGCTCGTACGGGTAGGTCTTGAGTGGAGTTGGGATAAGGCATTGACAATGATGATGATGATAAGGAGTTATTGAAATTTAGGCTTAGTTGGGAAAGAGTACAAACCCAAATGGGTAAAGTGCTGAAACCTCCCTGAAGTTTCTGGTTGTTGCTGAATCCTTTCCCTGAAGTTTGGTAATTGTAATCACTCCGTCAACTTTTTAACATTGTTGCAAGTAGACCCCTTTTGTTAAAATCCTCTAAAAAGAGATATAAAAATGTCTAAAATACCCATACAGTTACTTTGACCAACACATTTAATTTCCGAATTTCCTCTTCATATGAATTGCTAGCCCAAAGACATTCACTCAAAGGTAAAGGCATAAAGCTGCAAATTTAAATTCTCTTTTTTGTTGTTTATAAAATTAGTATTGTTTTTATTGTAGAAATCATGGTTTTCAAAACTGGACCGGACCAAACGGTCGAGTCGGAAAAACTGGGAACCAATCAATTCCGTTTTCCCCAAAAACTGGATTTCCCCCCAAAACCATTAATTTTGGTCAATGAACCATTGAACCAGGCGGTTAATTGTTCAAACGGTTTTGATTGTTTTTTATTTTTTTGAATATTTTTTATTTTCTTGTCAGAACAGGCCTAGCGTTCAGTTCGAATGGTCAAACCGTTCGACTCGACAACTGGACCCCTGACTGGTTTGGTAACTGGGTCGGTTTTAAAAACCATGGTAGAAATCATCATCAATAATAACTGCATGGGTATTTTGGACATTTTGTGCCTCTTGTTAGAGGATTCTAGACTTGTTCACGGGTTGGGCTTCAGGTCAGACTTACACTGTACCGGGCTCGGGCTTCAGGCAAGACCCCATTCAAATTTTGGCAAAAGCCAAGCTCGAGCCCGACCCATGAACAGGTCTAGAGGATTTTAACAAAGGGGTCTATTTGCAACTGTCATAAAATTCAGGGGAGGTAATTGCAATTACCAAACTTTAGAGGAGATTTCAGCAAGAATCAAAAACTTCAAAGGAGATTTCAGCAATTTACTGTATTTTCCAAATTGAGCCTTAAATTTTAAAATTTTGCACCCCAAAAAGTTCTAAATATAAAATTTTAAAATTTTGGATCCCGATGAAGTTCCATACACAATATATTGTTTATTCATGCCTCATAGATACCGTTGAAATCAGTTGATGCCTCTAGAAAAGGGTAGCAGAAAAAGGGTTTCTTTCTAAGAGGTGGATCATGTTATTTATAGTCACTGTTTTTTTGGACAATGTGGATTTGTAGCCTTACAATTTACTTGTGGAAAATGATCCCTGATCCTTGTTTCCTATCTCCTATTTGGTTTTCTTTTTGTATTTACTTGCCTGGACATTAGGCTTGATGGAGATGGAATTCGGAATTTTGTGGTTCTTAACATCATGTAATTCAAATTGATCTTCCCAATCATTTTTGTGTAAGCCATGAATAGTGAATCATCTTTATTGGAAGGAGACATTACAAGAATTCTCTTCACTGATAAAACCCTGAAACAATTCCAAACAAAAAATGGATACTACTCCAACACACAACCCAAAAGAAAAAAAAGAAGATCACACCATGCCAAAATACAGGACATTCAGGATGATAGAAAAGTTCACAGATAAGTTAAAGAGAACTCATAAGCCGGTGAAGTTGGAAGCGTATGATGCAATGGTCAGAAGGAAGAAGAGGAGAGAAAAGGTCATTTTATTAGAGCTTCCATCTGAAGTATTGCTGTTTGTTGATGTAGTCTTGGATCCCCCTCCTGCAGTGACCGACCATGCATGCTTATATTAGTATGATCGGCACTTGATGAGAAGATGAACAAAATAAAAATTTTTAGGGTTACAAATGCAATCAAAATAAGATTAGTAGTTGAGCAAATCACAAACACCATGTACCTGAAGGAGTGCTTGGTACTGATGGTGTGGCCTTAGTTGCTGGTGGCGTTCCTGCCGGTGAAATAGCTGTGCGACAAAAAGATTAGACAATAATTCATCCTGGGTTCTCTGAATTCTTCACCAAAGCAAGAATTCTGTAATTACTACTTCTTACCGTTACAGAGGCTAACCGATGGAGTTTGGACATTGCATGCTTTAGGGAGCGCCAAAGCCCGAGCTTGGTCAATTTGTATCCCTAGTGAAGAAGCACCTCCATTAAGGATTTGACATAGGCACTCTGGCTGTGAATTGACAACACTTGCAAGCTGTGAGCAGCAGGAAGAAGACGGGGTTGATGAGTTGCCTGTGATGTAGTTCAGGCACGGCGACATGCTAATGATCGTATTAGTGCAACTTGAGGATTGTGCCGCAGCTTCTGCCCAGATCATGGCAACTAAGGCAGCTACCAGCAGGGCAACTTCCATCCTTCTAGCTAGTGCCATTTAGAAACTGTTTTTTTTTTTTTTAATCGAAGGAGATGGCCAGACGGGAGGGAAGAGAGATTGATTGATTGGGTTGTGTGGAAGTAGGGAGGAGAGATTGCGGTTTATATAGGGATAGTTGTGGAGAAGAGACAATAGCAATTGGCAACGTTGGTGGCCAACTTTTCCTACTTTGTAACGGATTCTCTCTTCTCTTGGTATAACAACCAAAACCTATTCAAACTCAGAGTTCGAATTAGGTAGAATAAAGAAAAAAGAGTTCAAATTAGAATATAATTAATTGTATATATAGTTGATCAAAGTTGTTAATTGAGAAGGAAAATAAAAAATTTTGAGGCAGGAAGTATATATATACATAGCTCACTTTTTTGTTTTTCTTCTGGTTGGTTGGTACGCCGACCTTGTGCGGATTGCTATACTGTTGAAGCTTGGGCTGCAAAAGGTGTTATGCTAGTGGATCTAAACCGATCACTCCTGCCAGGCGCCAGCCTGAACTGAATAGATGGGTTATCCTCTACAGAGATCATCCTCTAGAGTTATTGTATATCACAAACTCTATCTCAGATAGAGTTATCCTAACTAATGTACTAATCATGTAAATCACCAGCTCTGTATTTAAACCCCAATCAGTAATAACCAATCGACCGTTTTATCAAAATTATCTCCTTTCACTTGGTATCAGAACCATGGCCGCCAACCCAATTTGATTTTCGTGAAATTAGATAAACACAACTACCTTTTGTGGAAGGTCCAGTACCAACCCATGCTTGAAGGTCTGGGCCTGTTCGGCTATCTCGATGGCTCCATCCAATGTCCCCCACAGTTCATCTGTGATACGATAGACACCTCTGGTGTCAAAACTGTGAACCCAGTGTTCACCTCTTGGCAGATCCAGGGCAAGTTATTACTTAGCTGGTTGCTTGCGACTCTCATTGAAGGAGCTCTTGCTCAAGTCGTCGGTTGCAGAACATCTCACGATGCTTGGATGACCTTGACTCGTATATATGCCTCTCCCTCATGATCCAGGATCATGCAACTCAAAAATGATCTTCACCATCTCCACAAAGGCTCAAAATCGATGACTAACTACTAGCAACAGGTCAAAGGCTACATAGATGCACTTCAAGTCACCGGTCAAGGACTCCCGTCTGATGACGTCATCCTCTACACCACGGGAGGTTTGGGACCAGATTATGACCCACTCGTCATAGCCATCACCACCAGACACGACCCTCTCTCTCTCTCGAAGAACTTCACAGTCTTCTACATCAGTTCGAGCTCCGACTCAACCACCAACACTCTGCTCTCCTTGACACTCAGCTCTCTGCCAATTCAACTGTTTACAAACCTGGAGCTCGCCCACCCAACTCTCACCGGGGTGGTCGCGGTGGTAACCCCTCTTCACGTGGTGGCAGAGGTAAGGGTCGTTACAATAAGGTAACTTGTCAGGTCTGCGGCAAAGTTGGCCATTCTACACTTTCTTGCTTCTACCGCTTTGATCTCAGTTTTCAGGCATCTGGAAGTAATCCACCATCCAAGGCTCTTGTTGCCTCCAATACCACGAATTCCTCTGATGGAGATTGGTACCCGGACACCGGTGCCATGAATCACCTTACAGCTGACCTTGGCAATCTTTCTCTTCGATCTGATTACAACGGTAATGACGAAATAGCCGTAGGTAACGGGACAGGTTTGGACATCAAACACCTTGAACATACCTCTCTTCATACCTCTTCCTGTATACTACACTTAAATAATATCCTTCATGTATCTGATATCACCAAACATCTGATATCTGTTCGTCAGTTTTGTCATGATAACAATGTACTCTGAGTTTGATGATTCTGGTTTTGTTGTGAAGGACAAAATTCGGGAGACACCAATCCTCTCAGGGCCGATTAAGGATGGCCTCTATCAACTCTCTGTATCTCCTTCCAGTAGCTCGAATAAGGGACTTGTGGCCATGCTGGGGGTATGGACTACTGTTGATGGCTGGCATAAATGCCTTGGGCATCCTCAACACCGTATAGTTCATCAGATTTTTCAGCAGCACAACTTACCAGTTGACTCCAAGTCTATCTCAGATTTTTGCTCTTCTTGCGCTTGTGAAAAGTCTCATTGCCTCCCTCACCCACCTTCATCAATTAGTGTGTCTGCTTCTTTAGATGTTATTTATTCTAACTTATGGGGGCCTTCTCCTGTACCCTCTAATAATGGTCATTGTTACTATATTGAATTTATTGATGCTTTTACCCGATTCGCTTGGATTTTTCCCTTGTATACGAAATCTGAAGCTTTATCCACTTTCTTTCGATTTTGGACCATGATTGAAAAACAATTGAATCGGCCCATCAAAATTTTACACACTGATGAAGGGGGTGAATATCGCAAATTTCATGACTATTTACAGGAACACAAAATTGTACATCGCTGTAGTTGCCCTCATACTCATGCCCAAAATGGAGTTGCTGAGCGTAAACACCGTCACATTGTAGATACCGACCTAACACTCCTTGATAATGCCAATCTCCCTTGCTAGTTCTGGAATGAAGCTTTCGCCGCATCTGTTTTTTTGATCAACTGTCTTCCAACCCTGCTTCTTGGCCACAAGTCTCCATATGAGCTGCTTTTTGGACGTCCCTTGGATTATAGTTGCTTTAGAGTCTTTGGGTGTGATTGCTACCCCAATTTGCGCCCCTACAACCGAACCAAGTTTGATTACCGTACTCTTCGCTGCACTTTCCTCGGGTACAACTCTCGTCACAAGGGTTATCTTTGCTTGCACAAATCTACTGGTTGTCTCTACATTTCTGATGATGTACTCTTCGATGAGATATCTTTCTCTTATAGCAATGGGCCCTCTCCACGAAGCCCGGCTCCACGCTCTCAGGATATGCCTTCTATATTGGGCCCGCCACCTGTTCTGGCCCCGTATCATTAGAACACTACTATTGCAGTACCGCCTATCTCTCGGCCCACTATAGCCTCTTCACAGGCCCACTCTCTCTCTCCCTCGGCCCACTCTCCTATGAACTCCCTCGAGTCCTCTATGATACAGTTCAGCACCGCCAATCCTCCTTTGCCTACAGATCCGGATCCGACTACCTCCCCGGCCTCTGCTTCCACTCCCACTCATGGCATGTAGACCCGCTCAAAATCTGGGGTGTTCAAACCCAACCCCAAATATGCTCTAGCTTCTGTCACCACTAAAGTTGAGCCCACCTGTTTTACTCAGGCTGCGCGTGATCCGAAGTGGCATGATGCCATGAATACCGAGTTCTCTGTGCTGGTTCAGAACCAAACTTGGTCTATTGTCCCTCTGTCACTGGACAAAAATATTGTGGGTTTCTGTTGGGTCTTCAAGATCAAATGCCACGCTGATGGTACCGTTGAACGATACAAAGCACGTCTCGTTGCCAAAGGATATCATCAACATGAGGGGATTGACTTTTCGGATATTTTCAGCCCGATGGTTAAACCATGCACCATCAAGTTGGTTCTTTCCATTGCCACGTCCAAGTCCTAGCCTATCCATCAATTGGATGTCAACAACTCATTCCTTCATGGCTACTTAGCCAAGGAAGTCTACATGAGTCAGTTGCCTAGTTTTCAGCATCCATCCTACCCCGATCATGTCTGCAAATTACATCGATCTCTATACGGCCTACGGAAGGCTCCACGGGCCTAGTTCACTCGGCTCCACAACTTCTTAGTTACTCGTGACTTCATTGAGTCCAAGGCTGATGCCTCACTGTTCATTCATCACATTCCTCGTGACCTCACTTTGGTGCTCGTCTACGTTGACGATATCATCATTACTGGCTCCAGCTCCGCTCTTGTTGATCAATTCATTCATGCTCTTGCTTCTGAATTCTCTATACAAGACCTTGGGCCTCTCCATTTCTTTCTTGGGCTTGAGTCTGAGTCCACCTCCGATGGCATGATTCTCTCTTAGTCCAAGTATGCCTTGGATCTTTTTGTCGCACCAACATGGTAGATGCTAAACTGTGCACCACTCCTATGGCAGCCACTACTAAACTCTCACTTGATGACTCTAACACCTTTGATGATCCAACATTATACTGAAGCACTGTTGGTGCTCTACAGTACCTGACCGTGACTTGACCGGACCTGGCCTTCTCTGTGAACAAGGTGGCCCAGTTCATGTCCAAGCCCACAATCAACCATTGGGCTGCTATCAAGCGTATCCTATGCTTCATCAAGCACACTTACACCCTTGGGCTTCGTATTCGTCGTTCTCCCTCAACTCAGCTTCATGGCTACAGTGACTCGGATTGGGCCGGGTGCCTAGATGACCGGCTGTCTCATGGTGGTTATTGCATCTACTATGGGCCCAACCTCATATCCTAGTCTTTCAAGAAACACTCGTCGTCTCCAGGTCCAGCACGGAAGCAGAATACAAGTCCCTTGTCATCCTTGCAGCTGAACTGGTCTAGATTCAAATGCTCTTTTGTGAAATGGGCTTCTCACCCACATCCTCTCCAGTCTTGTGGTGCAACAATATTGGTGTCACCTACCTCGCCTCCAATCCCGTTCATCACTCCCGCAGCAAGCATGTCGAGCTGGATTATCACTTTGTACGGGACAAAGTTCAACGTCGACTCCTTGAAATCAGATTCTTCACCACCGTTGATCAGACGGCAGATGCCTTCACCAAACCCCTTCATGTTCGACGCTTCTCTTTCTTACGTGACAATCTCTCCCTGACAAACACGGCATCGCTTGAGGGGGCGAGTTAGAGTCGCTCACATTCACGTCACCTTTGCATGGGTTATCTTATCTCTTCCGTGAGTTGTAACTCATGATAAGATTATCTAGAGGTTATTGTATATCACAAACTCTATCTTAGATAGAGTTAATGTACTCATCATGTAAATCACCAGCTCTGTATTTAAACTCCAGATTAATCAGTAATAATCAATCGATCATTTTATCAAAATGATCTCCTTTCAGTGATGGAACAATCAGATCTTCTACCTATATATATGCTTGTCTTTTTCTGTGGCTGAGAGTGAGAGGCTTCAAGCCTTCAATTCAGCAGCCCAAAAGCAGGAGCTTCCTTTTCCATGGCTCAAAGTCGAGCGCGGGTCAGGTACCGGGAGATGGCGCGCAGGTTTGCCATTCTGGTCTCTGCTCAATCCAGATGGTCCATCGTCTAGGTTCACAATTCACAATGTGCGGCTAGTCAAGGATAAAAATTTGTCCGATACCCTTAAGTGGGTATGGGTGCTTATCCATATGATCGATACATAGTTTATTATTATTATTGTTTTTTATTTCAGATGTCTCATGCATCATTTTAATGTTTTAGTTGTCTATTTTTTTTATTTTTTATTTTAATGTTTTAGTTGTGTAAAGAAATTTATATTAGCGTATTCAAATATATCTGATTAATATCGATATAATATGCCCGATATTTGATGCTAGTTAGTCCTATTTTAAACTTTATTTTGTAGAGTTGTCTTACCTATTTTGACCTTTATTTATTTATTTGTTGTTATTGAGTAGGAATAATAATTTTCCCCATCCATAACAGGTACCCGACCTCCTTGACTTGATGGAGATTGTTTTGGTGGGGCGGGGAAGGGAATGGGGATTAGACCTGTTCATGGGCTGGGCCGGGCCGGGCTCGGGTCGGGCTTTCACTTGTCACTAATGAAAATATATTAGGCCCGACCCCGAGCCCGGCCCGACCAACGGGCCTATAACTTGGACTCGAGCCCGGCCCTGGTAAAAAGCTCGAAGCCCGAGCCCGAAGCTCGACCAAATTGAAAAAAAAAACAATTTTTCCTATTCAAATTAGAATTAAAATTTCAGATAAGTATTTTTTTTTCTATTTAAATGAACAATGGGCCTACAAGATGGTATTTTTCCCTTTCTTTTATATTTTAAAACACAATTTTACATTCTTAAATCAAAAAAATTTATTCAAATGGACATAATCACATAAATAATTTTAAGTTTAATATTAGGTTGGGTCGGGCCGGGCTATTTTGACAAAACCCGAGCCCGGCTCGAATTTATTGCGGGCCAGGCTTTTTGACCCGAATTTAAGCCCGCGGGCCTATAAAAATGTCCAAACCCGTTCGGGGGTCGGGCCGGCCCGTTGGGCCACCCGGCCCATGAACAGGTCTAATGGAGATTAATAGGAATTCCCAACTGGGGTTGGGGTCGGGGGTGAGGAATGAAGTCTCTACCCTGCGCTGACCCCAATTCTATATATATTAAATGTATATTATTATATATATGATTTTATTTACATTATTGATATTATATATGTATCAAACTATGTTTAAAATATTATTTATATTTTAAAATGTTTTTTATTTTAAATAAATTTATTTTTCAAAAGATTTCGTTATTTGGGAGATTCGGGTCCCTATAACGAACCCACTTCCATCGGGGATTGGGGATAGAGGACAACCTTTTATCCCTGATGAGGATCGGGGTTGAGGACGCGAAATATGATCCCCGCCCTGACCACCTTCCAAAAATAAGGCTGTCAACAGTATCAAAGAATTTCAGTTCAAATTTAAGATTCAACGTAATCAAATCAAATTCAGATATGATATTAACACATTTATATTGATTACTTAAAATAATTAATCGATTGAATTCGAATCAAATAAAATATTCGACGATTTGAATAGAATTCAAATCCAATTTTTATTTTTCAATATACATTTGAATAACAAACTTTTCAATTGAATTCAAATTCCATTGTTACTTGATTCAATTGGAATTCACTCTATTTACACCCTTGCCCAGAAGTGCCGAGTTGGTTTCAGTGGGTTATCGGGCTGAAACTTGCCATGTGAATGGAAGGTGCAATGCATAGCAATTGTGAAGTATGAAATCCTTTGTCCAAGATTGTAATTTTGCTGAAGATTGCAATACCGGAATTTTGTCATGCATTTACCGAACTATCCCAACCTGATTATATAAAAAGTAGGATTACTTGGATTGGATTAAGACTACATATTCTAAAATCGGATTCAGTTAAGAGTTGGGTTCGGTGGGTTGAAGAACCCTTGCCCCGGGTTGACCAACCCAATCCAACCCGGCCCAAGTTTCACCCTTTATTATCTAGAATTCCTACATTATGTAATATTTATTTAACAAATAATAAACTCGACCCGGGACCCGGGACCCGGGTAGAACATTTTTCCTCGGCCCTTGAAGGTTTCATGTCCAAATCCAAACACTTGGGTAAAGTGCCTTGCACTTGCACTCGAATTAGAGATGTCACACAGTAACAGTTTCCCGCCACATTATGCAACGGATTAATTGGGATCCTTAATCATCCCTAATTAAATATTTTCTTTGTTAATTTTAATTTTCTAATAGACAACACAAGGCATATCCCACGAAGAGCACGCAGGGATTTACATGTGAAGAAGAGGCAACTGCAATGGTTGGCAGTTGGCCAACTTTTCCTACTCTAACGATTTCATTGGTATACCAATTATAACTTATATTTATATCCAAATGCCAGGCTTACTACTATTTATTTTCGGAATTTACAAGTGCCACTTTCACCAAAGGTTTTAGGGTCTGTTTGGTTTGTAGTCAGAATTGGAATTAGAATCAAAATCTTTTGGAATAGTCCATTCTGATTCTGATTCCAGATCTTTATTCATGGGAGCCAAACGAGGCCTTAGTGCTCTTTTTGTTTTTTGTTTTGGCTGGTTCTGAAAGCTGAAGCAGTGTGAGTTGGGATAACAGAAAGGCAATAAAGCAGAAGATTTGTTGCTAGAAGTTAGAGACTTGTAGTCGTGGTGGTGTCAAGATTAGTGGTGTTTGGGTCCATGACCAAATTACTCAGAGCATTGACCAAATTTCTTCAAGTTGGACCTTGGAATGTTTCACATCTACCAAATTATTACGTTGGGTTTTAGACCTATAAGTTCTTCATTGAGGGAGTGCCTTTTGAGTCTGAGCCTCTCTGAGGACAGAGCAAGCAGCATGGTGACTGCTAAAACTGGTCCTGGCAGCAGATTTTCCTCACCAAATTCAGTATGATTAGATGGATTTTTACCATTTGATCTTTGGAAAAAATTATAAAGCATTCTTTGATGTTAACAGAAATTTCGACTGTTAGAAGAATAATAATAGGCTCTTTTTGGTTGCACGGACAATGAAGGAAGATGAATTGTTTCTTGAAAATTGCTGTTTATGGTGATCGCACATAAAATGCTCATGGGAAGCCAATTTTTTCCGACAAAGTAAAATGAGTACTAATTGTAGGAATAATGAGCACTGATAATTTTTTTTTTTCAAATCATTTTTTTTCCTTCATTCCAGATGCAACCAAAAGCTGCCATGATCTCATTAGCCAGTTTCCTTTTGTCTAAATATCTCTCACACCCAAAATAACATAGGTTCAGCGTACTGATCATGCAACATTCTTCATTCCTTGGCAACCAAAATGAGGGAAAAAAAGGAAAAAAAAGAAAAATGTCTTCTAGTATTTCTGGTTATAAAAAATAACCATAGAGCACACAGATTCTCTTCTAAGATTTGAGACATAGTACAAATTATTAGAATGCCAGCCCATAACTAGTTACTTTACAAATCTAAACAATTTCCCAGGTTTGTCTGCGAAGAGAAAGAGGGAATGCAATGACAGGACACTTCATAGTTGAGACAACTCAGAAGCTGGTGAAGGTTGAAGCATAAGATGCAGAAAAGAAAATGAAGAAGAGCATAGAAAAGGTCAATTTGGTGGTGGAACTTCCTTCAGATGTGTTCCCACTTGTTGATGGAACAGTCTTAGATCCGCCTCCTGCACCATTTAACACTCCACATTAGTATGCATAAAATCCCAGGAGCAAGTTTTAGCTATATATCTGATATAAAGATACCTGAGGGAATGCTTGGCACTGCTGGGGTGCCTGCTGGCACTTCTGGTGTAGAGTTGGCATCTGGCGTTGCTGCTGGTGCTACTGGTATGGTATTGGAGTCAGGCGTTCCAGCCGGAGATGCTGCAGGGGAAAGCGCTGTCAGCATTGACAGAACAGAGAGAAGCAAAGAAATTTAATCATGAGAAGTAAAAAAGAAACCCCACTTGATGATATAAGAACCAAGTTATTACAAATTCTAGGTTGGGACCATTGGGGGTATGGGGTTAGCCATCTCAGTGCAAATTGCAGAGGGTGGGTCACCTTGAATATAGAAACTTATGGTGACATGCATGTTTCTTACCATTGCACAAGCTAACTGGAGGTGTTTGGATATTGCAAGCATTGGGGAGAGTCAGAGCCTGCGTTTGATTGATGACAATCCCCAGAGAAGATGCACCACCATTAAGGACCTCGCACAGGCATTGTGGCGTGGATTGGACAACATTGGCGAGCTGGGAGCAGCATGAGGATGATGGGAGGGTTGGTGAGTTCCCAGTAATGTAGTTCAGGCAAGGAGACATGCTGACTATGACGCTCATGCATCTTGAAGATTGGGTTGCTGCTCCTTCCCAGTGCATGGCCACAACTAGTGCTAACAGACCCACTCCCATTCCTCTAGCTTCCATTTACAGGGGCTGGAAATTAATGCATTATTACAAGTTGAAGGAGATATGTAATGGAGCTACAGCCTACTAGCCTAGAGATGTATGTATGTAGAATTGGGTTGAGAGGAGGAAGAGAGGTTCTCCTGTTTATATGGAGAAGAGATGTTGAGGGAAGAGACAAATGCAGTATTAAGTATTGACACTGGCGCCCAACTTTTCTTAACTCTCAACCGTATAACTTAAATTAGAAATTGAAGATTTGAAGGTTGGAACCTTTGAATATTATAGTACTGATGTGACTAGACAATAAAAAAATAAATAAAAAGTGTAACGTCTTTGGGTTTGGGCCCAAGTTTGACTATTTGATTTTTCCTTAACAGGTTGGTAACCGAAAAATCTCAAAATGGTGGGAATTGGATCTGTTTTTTTTTCCAACTAGTTATTAGCTAAAGTTACCAAATTACCCTTTTCCGTTGTGCAGTGGTGGGAGTGGGGCTCCTCTGCCGTTAAGAGGAGACCGGATCTGCTCCTCACACCTGGCGCCTCACAGGTGTTCTCAATGCATGGTAGATGTGCCTGTGAGGCGCCCATTTGTGAGGAGCAGATGAATCAAGGCATGCAGCTCACATGGACGGGTCTCGGGCCCATTCTAAATGGGCCGTTGTGAGCTCACACTGTTCATTTTTAATGCTTATGGTGGATTTAACAGCTTTTTATGTAATTGCTTTTGCATGAATAGCTTAATTGTTTCATGCCTTAAAGCGTGTCATGTATAAAGCATATTTTTTTATGTTAAAAAAATAAAAATAAATTAACCTCCAGCGATAGGCCGATGGCATTAAAATTTAGTTAAAAAAAGATGTACCAAAACTACTGCATAATGGGCTAGATTTTCTCTTTATTAGGCTAACGGAAGCCCAAAAATCACACAAGGGCGGCGCTTGAAAGAGATTCGGGATTTGTAAAAATCTTAGGACCCGATTTGGGTTGTAAGCACATGGGCCGGTCCGGGCCTAGTCTTATGCCCATTTATTAGGCAAACAAATCCTGAGTTTAGTTTTGCCTGGACCAAGCCTGGTCCATGCATATGCCCAGGTGATGGAGAATATTTCCCACCATCTACTACAACACAATATTGTGTCATGTGGGCCTCTTTGACAGAGATTATAACAAATAAAAAAAAAGCACTTCTTCAAAGAAATTAGTTTGGCTTTGATTCATCATTGTCCCAAGTATATGGGGTGATGACTACATGAATTCTGTTGTGTTCAGTGTCATATCCAACCATGGTTAAATTATGGGCGTTTACGTCATTTCAATTTACTTACACCCAAGTCTTTTTCCCATATAAATCATCTTGTAATTAGGATTCTTCTTCAGATAACATGTCCACTGAGAGAAGGTCAGAAATAATTATTTATAAATATTTAATACAAAGCATGTGTACCAATAAGTTTACAAATTATACATTAGAGTGTAGCAAATTAAGAGATAATTCATTTGTATTTTCAACATGATTGATCTCCATTTACAAATTACAAATTATACATTAGAGTGCATGAAACAAATCCAATTAAACCAAAGACCCCACTCTCTGAAGAAAAGCAAAGAATCTCTCCCGGCTACAAAATATGGGAAGACGAACTCAAAAGCTAGCTACAGTGAAGCTTGAAACGTATATGATGCACTGAAGAGGAGAAGGAAGAAAAGCCAATGCATCGATCTCAGAAAAAGGCTGGGCTACCCATACTGATCCATGATTTTTATATTCCTCCCAACTTCTGGCTCTGGGTGCAAGATATGGCCAACTGTGGATGTTAATGTCAAGTTGTGTTTCATGGTTAAATATTCTTTGTAACAGTTTCTCTAAGAATTCTTTGTCTTAATTCCAATATACTCATCAGACATCTATCCACAAAATTCCAATATACTCAGTGAGCCCACCCTTGAACAACCAACTTCATATCATTCTCAAAGAGGAAGAAAACCAGCTGGAGCTCTTATATTGTCATGGAATCTACAATCTAATAATACAACAAGTCTAGACAAAATATGCAAAATAGCAGGACATACCGAAGAACCCAGGAAGAAGAAGAAAAAAACTCAAGAGCTGATGATGGTTGAAACACATGATCCAACGAGGAGAAGGAAGACAATGAGTTGAAAGGGTGATTTTGTACTACTACTTCCATTGGAGGAATCTACTCCTTTCATCGACGTCGATACATTTCTAGATCCGCTTCCTGCATCCATTTCACAAAAATAAATAGCTAGAAGATGATTACTGTTTTATATTTGATTTTACTTCTTAATTTCAGAGTTTCTAGATAGAAAGAAAACTCTTTAATTACCCATTCATTCTTATGTTTATTATTTCCATTTCCAGTTACAAATTACACATGTAAAGAAAACGAACAGAGGCTCCCAATCACAGAGAAGACAATGGAATTGAATCACTTTGTTTTCGAGATTAATTTACATTTTCCGTACCTGGAGGAGGCGTTGATACTGATGGCGTAGTCTTAGAATCAGGAGTTCCATTTGAAGAAGATGAGCTCGGTGGAGAAGCCCCGGAGGTTGCTGGAACAGCACTAGCTGCGCCAAGTAGTCGTTTCAAGTATTTCATCTATTTATATATATATATATATATATATATATATATATATATATATATATATGTAAAATATGTTGACGTACACGTACTGCTTTGAAATTGAAAGATTAACTGAGATGTTTTATATATATAGTTCAACTTACAATTGAAGTTGCTAATCACCGGAGTCTGAATAACACTGCAAGCACCAGGAAGTGCCAAAGCAACAGCTGGGTTTACGGTGACGCCCAGTGATGCAGCGCCACCGTTGAGCACTGAACAAAGGCATCCTGGCTGTGACTGAATCACGCTGAAAAGCTGGGAGCAGCACCATGAGGATGGCGTGGAGGAATTTCCCATGATGTAGCTAAGGCATGGCGCTAAACTAAGGATCACAGTTGTGCAACCCAATTGGGGCCCAGTTCCCTTACAAAGCATGCTCACAAGGGCCATGACTAAGCCCATCTCAATTACTCCTGGATCCATCTGAATCCCACTTCTCTGCCGGTTCACAGACCAGTCGCCGGAAACACTTCAAAGTGAAGAGGTAGTAAACAAATTTTGTGTATCAGTTCTGGCCCTGCAGGTTAATTAAATAGAAGAGAAGTGGTGTCTATTGGGGTTTGATATTGAGAGGAAAAATGATTTATATAAGTGTAAAGAAGATAGACAAGTAGACATAAAATAGGTAGTCTTTGGGTGACCAACTTTTCCAACGTTAGGAGTGATTGGTATATTAATCAGCTTCCAATTCCAAAGATGAGATTTCAAAGTTGAAATATCAAAGCAGAAGGAACCCAGCTGATAGCGTCAGTTGATGAGGATATTACTTGTAGAGGTATCCCATGTTTAAAGTATTAGCTGCTGCCATCTTAACAACTTACTAACTAATTTTAACTTTAGGCAGCAAGATCCAATCATCCAACTGTTGCGTACAAGGATTTCGATTCAACTAGAGGCCATCTCATGTAATGCCTCTCAGGATCACCCCCCTCTTCTTTTGCTTTTTTTTTTTTTTTTTGTGTGTGTGTGTGTTTTTTTTTTCAATGCCCCCCTTTTCTGTTGTTATTTTTTATAAGTTAATTAAATTAATCCACCTAAACTTGAATGGCCTTTTGTCTTGTATCGAGGTGGCTTCTGGGTGTCAAGTAACCACCACCGGCCTCTTGTTTTCTTTTAGGCCCGTTCGTAAAGTTATTTATACGGGTAACTCATATTCTTTTGAAAATAAATAAGATATGATCATTTTAACCATAAAAATGGGCAATTTTATCACATTTAAGTATTGACAACTTCCCCCAATGAGATGGATATCATGGCTAAGTGATACATAGAGAAAATAGATTTTCCATGAATCCCACATAAATCTGAAAAAAGAACATGGGTATCTTGGTCAACGGGAATCAAAATTTCATTGACCAACTTTCTCCCCTCTCAAAATCTAAAAAAAAAGGCCCTCAAATGTAGGGGTTACCGAACCGTGGGGTATTTTTTCAAACCAAACCGACCTGATCGGTTTTTTAAATATCCAAACCAAAACTGAACCGATGCAATCGGTTAACCAATTCATAGGTTAACCACGATTCGTTTTTTTGGTTTTTTTATGCACTTAAAATAAAATAAAAAAACCTAAAACTGTCGGTGGTTGCTTTTGGTGCCAATGGTTACTGTCAGTTGTTGCCTGAAGTGAGAGTTTGAGAGATGGCGCCTGGCGGAGACGTAGAGAGGAGAGGTGAGAGAGAGAGAGCGAGAAGAAATATAGAGATCAGATCAGAGATGGCATTAAACCGTTGGTGCTTTCTTGTCGGTGAGGCGATGATCGGTGTTGCTGCTTGGTGCTGCCATGCTGGTGGTTGGCACGGGCCGTGCGACTGTCTGGAGTGGGGAATACGAAGAGTCGAAGAAGAAGAGTAAGAGAAGAGTCGAAGAAGAAGAAGAAGAGTGAAAGAAGAAGAAGATTAGAAGAGAAGAGTCGAAGAACTGGGAGAGTGAGAGAGACAAAAGAGAAAATTGAGAGACTGAGAGAGAGAAAAGAGAAAAGACTAAGAGAGTTTGACACTTTGGCAATTTGGGGAAAGGACGAAAGAGAAAACTGATGGAGATTGGAGACTGGCAATCTGGCAGACTGCCGAACTTTCAATTTAAAGGTTTAAATTTCAAAGAGAAAGGCTAAAAGTCTTTTAGATTGCCGAACTCTTTTATTCAATTTTCAATATATATATATATATCAGTTGGTTCGGTTAACCATCGGTTTTTTTAAATAGTTAATCAAAATCGAACCAAAATTATCGATTTTTTAAGAATATCGAACCAAAACCAAACCGACCAGTTCGGTTAACTGATTTTTCGATTCATTTTTTCAATTTTTTTTGCTCACCCCTACTCAAATGAAACTAAAGCATGTACTATATGCCTATATCTCAACGGAGTTCATGAATCAACTCAAAAAATTCAGTAGACTTGAAAGTATCCCATTGGGTTGGTTGGGTCATGCCTTGTTGAAGAAACATTGTATGGGTAAGACTTAAGACTTGGACCATCTACTAAGAAGGAAAGACCATTGTGGCCATCATATTAAATCGAAATATCATATATATGGTAATGATCACTGTTTTCAAAACCGGACCGAATTGGACGGTTGGATCAGAAAAATCGGGAACCAGTCACCTGACCAATTTCATTTTTCTCCAAAACCGCTTTTTCTCTCCAAACCATTGATTTTGATCAGCAAACCGCTGAACCGGCCAGAAATCGTTCGAACGGTTTTGACCGTTTTTCAAAATTTTAATTTTTTTTGTCAGAACGGGCCGGCCTTTCAAGTCGAACGATCAAACTGTTCGAACCGGTAACTGGGCCCCTGACCGGTTCATTTTTAAAAACCATGGTCATGATTAATAATTACATGTACATGTGCATATATATTACACATGTTCTTACACTAATATATTTCAATACACATATTAGTTCTTTGGTTGTTTGTAGCAGAGATTTAGGCTCAGTTTGAAAAAAAGTACACAAGCAAATATGTACGGTATAAATACAAACAAAATATAAGGTTTTGCACTTTACATATTTTCATTTATATTCCTTCCAAACTGAGTCTTAGGATTAATTCCTTTTGCCACCAGGGTTTGAAAGTTATGGATATGCAAAAAATATATAATATTTAAAAATATAAAAATTAATTAAAATAAAAAAATCAGCCTGCGAACCATTACCCGAGTGGTACAATGCCAGAGTTGGACTTTCAACTGGATCAGCAAATTCATATATATTTTTTTTCTTTTCTTTTTTTATTTGAAAAATAGTGGCTCAATGGGACCGGAAAGGTGGCCGGTTTCTTGGTTGAACGGTTTGACTGCCCGTCGTGCCGAGAAGAATGAATATGGCTTGTTGAAGTTCTGACTCGAGTCATTATTCTGGGTTCTCATACACAAATGGAGGTGTATTCATTTCTAGTCTTTAGTGCTCAAAATTTGGTGCAGGACATAGAACAAGGACACAGATATGGATTTGTCTTCTTTTATATTTTTATCAATAAATAAGAAGGGAAGAGTAAATTTTTGACTTAGCATGTCTGCTCATTGGGTTGTTTAGTCAGTTTCCACATGAAATCAAGTCGGGATACGATCGAAAAGGGCTGATAGTCATGGTCATGGAGCAAATTTTTAATCCCAGCACACAACTCTACAACGCCCAAGAGGACCTGCTTTTGGTTAAGGCTGCAACTTGGGTTAGGGTTATGGTTGAAATTCATGAACCCGATTTTACTTTGGATTGGGTTACGCTTAACCCATTAGATAATTTTATCCGACCCAAACCCGATTCTATAATACATGTCATATATAAATACATGTTATATATGATATATCATACATTGATTTGTTTAGATCCATGATAGTTGTATAACCCTCACTACATACTATCATATCTTTCTTTCAAGATAATCACTTCACTTAATCCTAATTGGAAAGACTAAAACCTTAATAACATATTTTTATGTTTTTTAAATATTTTATTCTTCATTTCTCTCTCTACTGTTTCTCACCCAAAAATTGCAGCTGATAAAAGATCTATCATAAATCATAATAAACTATAGTCATTTAAAACACTTATTTTTTCTGAAATTTGTACTAAAAGAACTAATAAAACATGAGATATATAATGAAAATTGAATTAAGATCTGAAATTAAGAAGTTGTATGAGATTTTAAAAGATGGGAAGAAGGTTGGGTTGGGCTCGAAAACTTCGGCTTGAATTGGATTAGGGTTGAAGGAATTTAATTAGAGTTAGGGTTAGAATTGAGTAGGTCGGGTTGAAGGCTGAATTGGATGTTTGGAACTTATGTTTGAACTAGAATTGGCCTCAGCCCAACCTAACCCGGCCTGGCTTGCAGCCCTACTTCTGGCCCACATTAATATGCATTAACGACGAATTAAAATCTGGACTACAAATCCTTCATGCGTTGATTAATGATCTGTTTGAGCTCTAACTGAAGTCATTGCATAATTGGTCCTATATATTAGAAGTGGTGGAATCCGTTTCCCCCTTTGCGATCCCTATATTGATCCATTAATCAGTTATTGGCTATATTAGTTTATCTAGTAACAAATCAAGGTTAAGCTAACAAATATGTCTTGTAATTAAGAGACATCAGAAGGAAATAATAATATCTATTTGAGAAAAACACAAAAACAACCTCAAAAGAGGTATTAAATAATTTATTATACAATCACACCGGGCTTTTCTAGGTAAGTATATATTGTTTCAAGGAGGTGGCCAAATATATGTGTAAATAGTGAAACAAATTAAACGCCATATCCGGCCAGAGAAGAATCAAAAGCTGGTAAAAGTTGAAGCACACGATGCAGTGAATAGGAGGAAGAAGACAAGCTGAAGGGGCTTCTTGGTACTGCTTCCATGAGAAACGACTCCCGTCGTCGAGGGGACGGTTTTAGATCCAGCACCTGCATATTGCATTAATAAGACGTTCCATGCATCAAAGATCTGTGCTCAGTTTATGAAAAATAATGTGATATATAGCATTAATTCAAGTATATATATACATATATGTATATATATATTATCTTGCATATTCCTGTACCTGCAGGAATGGTTGATACAGATGGTGAAGTTGTATCAGGAGTTTCACTTGACGAATCTGTTGGAGAAATATCTGGAGAATCCACAAAGGAATCTGCTGGAGAATCTGCCGGAGAGTCGGCTGGAGAATCGGCCGGAGAAGTTGTGGGTCCATTGACAGCTGCCAACAATTGATGATAGTTTCAGGTTTATGTGAAAATACTATATATAAATTGGAGTACTGGTTTAAATTATTATGAGCTTACCGTTGCACTGGCTAACGGGTGGAGTCTGAACATTGCAAGCATTAGGAAGTGCTAGAGCCTGAGTCTGGTTAATGGTGATACCCAATGATGCAGCACCGCCATTGAGAACCGAGCAAAGACATCGTGGCTGTGTCTGAACGACATTCGCAAGCTGTGAGCAACACGATGAAGCTGGAGTGGAGGAGTTCCCTGTAATGTAGCTGAGGCATGGTGCCATGCCGATAAGCACGGATGTGCAACCCGATTGAGCTGTGGCTCTCACCCAAAGCATGGCCACTATGACCATGAGCAAGCCCATCTCTGTTTCCTTTGATGAAGCCATTGGTGAATGAGCTTCCAGTAGGTCAAAGGTTCAGGCTAGTGAAATTAGCTAGTGTATATGACTGTGTAAATGGGTTTGCTCTGGTTTGGAGTAGAATTAATGAAAAGGGAAGCTAGCTAGGGATGTGATTTATAGTTAGATGCGGAGAGAAACGGGAAGAAAAAACTACATACATAAAGGCATCTTTTGGTGACCAACTACTAAAATAAGTGGCGATTGGTAAACTAAACAGATTCTCAATGCGAGAGATGGACTAAGAAACAGGGATGGAGACCAAAGATTAACAATTCAATAGCTGAATATATAAATCATTGGACAGGTTTGGTGGACAAGACGGCCCAAAAGTGTTCCATGCATGTGGCCTTGGTTAGTAACCAATGGTTACAGCTCGAGAAGGCTCCACATGTTTCATTAATATCAACGGTTAATTGTGTAGTATGCTTTAGCTCAACTGCCGCGTAATATATGGCAAAAGAAATTAATCTTCTCCTAATGGGCATTTTTTTTTTCAAACTTGAAGTTTCGAAAGTTCAATCAATAGCTAGCATAAATAATCGGGCCGGGGAATACTCCACTCTAGCCCTGAATAAGTGATCAATAATCTAAAGGAACCTCCGGGTTGTCTCCCGGCCAGACCCACGTGGCTAAACTATGGCAAGTTTGTCCATTAATGATGAACTGATCAAGAGATTTGAGTAACTGCTTCAGAAAATCCTTTCACTTAATATATAGGGGCGTTTGGATTTTGAGAGGGGGGAAAGTTGGTTAATGGGATTTTGATTTTTATTGATAAAAAAATCTATGTTCACTTCTAAGTGGGTAAATTAATTTTCCCATTTAGGGAAAAATTGCCAATACTTGGATGGGATAAAAATGCCCCTTTTAATAATGAAATTTTTATGGCTAAGATGGTCATTGCCTTATTTACATGGAAAATAAAAGAACATGGATAAATACACTTACCCGGGTTTTTGGGAAACACTTGCCCAAATAAGTGTATTTACCTTGATAAATGACTTACCGAAAAGTGAACGGGGCAATATTGATAATTAAAGGATGTGAGAGGCCAGTGACTCCCTTGATGTGGTTGAGATAAATTGATGTAAGTATTACCTTTTTTTTGTGATAGCTCAAAAGTTGGAATTAAACTAAGTTGAAGCTTCTCCATTTCATATTGGAATTGCTAATTATGATTCAAGTTCAAAACTAATGGCCACCAAATGTGACGCTTAAAGGTCGTCTAAGGCTGAATTTTGGTGAACTACCCCCACAATTAAGTTCACCCAAAATGGAAGATATATGTAACTACAGCTATTGTTTCCATTGGTCTTTGCACCCTGCGTCCCTGCCCCATAAGTCACGAATCTCTCAATTGGTCTAGACCATTCAAAGGCCTGCTATTTGGTTAGTTGGTTGAGACCATCCATCAAATATCTTTCTTGGGTTATGGTCCTTCTGAGAATTGCTTCCTTGGCCGGATGGTTTGAAACTTTGTCAAGAAACCCAACCCAACGACCAAACGTTAATATAACTACCATGGTTTTTGTCTTTACCACAAGGCAAGTATTTGAATTAATTGGTGATCCAAGCGGCCAAGGGCTAGCACTGGGCGTTGAAATATTCAAGACTGAGTCCTAATCGTTAGTCAGCGACTCAATTCAGTGTTTGTCTAGAAGGAGGAATCACAAGCACATATGGTCGACTAACAACATCTTCCATGGATGAAGGAACAAAGAAAAGTAAAATCCCCACGCAATAACAAACATATGCCAACCTCTACCTAAGTACTGCCCTTTTGATTCATACATAACAGTGAAATAAAATACTCTAGATTCAGAAGAAGTCTGCCAAAGTTGGTGAACCTCCAAAACCCGCTTCAAATCTACCAGATTTTCCCTCCACTCCACACTCTTTCTGAAACCCATCCATCTATAAGACTAGGAAACTCCTCCCCCCACTAAGTTTATACCGATTTCCTTACACTACTCGCATCAAACCAAGAACACCTCTAATCTGCTTCTTTCCTCTTCTATCTAAAATACAGAAGAAACATATATGGAGGGGCTTAAGGTTTCAAGGCGCTTAATGGCTGCTGTGTTAAGCATGATCTTGGCGACGTCAATGATGCCGGCCGATGGGCAAGTCGTCTCGCCCTGCACAAATGCAATGGTCAGTAGCTTCACTCCATGCTTTAACTACATTACAGGGAGCAGTGCTAATGGATCTTCACCAACTGCTGACTGTTGTGGATCGCTTCGCTCGCTCATGAGCACTAGCATGGATTGCGCTTGCCTTATATTGACTGGGAATGTGCCGTTCCAGATACCATTCACCCGTAATCTGGCCATGTCACTCCCTAAGGCTTGCAAGATGAGTGGTGTTTCCGTCCAATGCAAATGTGAGAGTGAGACTTTTTGTGTAGGAAAGCTTAGTTGCATTTTGATTATTTATGGTGTGTTTGGCATCTAATTGACTTAATTCTACATCATTAATTGCTAATTTGTTTTCTTTTCAGCATCTGCCTCTCCTCTTCCAGCTCCAGGTACCATGCCATTCAGAAGATCTCTTGTTCCCTATATACATTTAGTTAGTTTCAATTGAAATATTTGTTACATCTATCAATGTAGTAAATACAGCCTGATTCTGGCTCGGCCAAGGCTAAATCGGCTTAATAGTAACCAGTAATGGATTTGCCGGCCCAACCCAATTCATTATCCTCTAACACTGAGGGGTAATGGGCAGACAGTTGGACGATTAGTTACAAGATAATTAAGTTTGGTGGTTGCATTTTTTACTGACCATAGTTGAACTGTCAGGTCCTGCAACACTTGGGATACCTCCTCCAAGACAAGCTCCTCCTTCTCCTAGCCCCAGAGGTACACAACTTGATCATTATTTAGTTAAAACACCTTAATCAGATTCATATGGGCTAGTACTTTTTTAAGAGATCCACATGGGCTTGGTCAAGGTAAGCCCCAGCTCAGCCCATTTGTATGTGGAGCCTCAATTCTTGGCTCAGTTTTTGCTCAAAATCGGATAATTGGGTCGAGCTCCTTGTCTCAGGCCCAAATAAGCTCAAGGTGTTCTAAAACAAAACTAAATAGATCATCTCCCCTATAATTTGATTGCATTGTTCATTGCTTGCGCTTTTGCTGACCTGAAACTGAAAGTATGCATCACCAAAGCCTAAAGATATTAATGGTTGTCTCTGTTGGGCAGCTTCCTTGATCCCTGCATTGTCGTCACCACCACCGGCTTTGCCTCCGGAAATCGATATAACTGTGGCATCAGAGCCGGCATTGCCACCAGTGGATACAGCAACTCCGACACTAATTCCAGGGAGCCGGCCGGTTCTAACCCCATCAGCTGCTAAACCCGCTTACATTTTCTCACCATCTCTGTTTCTTTTTGTTTTGGGAGTCATGGTTTTGAATTATCATTAATTAATTTGTTACCTTATTGGAGCTTTCATTGAATTATCTTTAAAATGTGATGCTCTACAATCTACACATGGGTCTTTTGTTTGAGAGAGCTACTCTTTTTTGGTAGAAGAAAGAGTTTTTGGGCTTATTGTTGAATATTATGAAACTGCAATTTCTGACCTAGTTGCAAAAATTAGTGAGTCGTTTTTGGACCATTGCATCCAAACTCCAAAGGGTGTTCACTTTGAAACCTGAAATGGATCTTAATAATGCGTCTCTAAAGACATCTACTGTATTTGGTTTACTTCTCTAGACTTGGCACCGTTTACTGGACCAGTTTGGCGGGTCCACCCACATTTCCTCCAAAGACAAGCCCGGTCCAGATTTAAAATCGAGAAGCAAAACATTCCTTTAGAGTTCAGAAAAGCCATGTCACAATCAGATAGGAATTCAGGGGACCGAGTTGTGTTGCCCGATTTGAAGATTTCCAACACCATCCGGCTCATCGATCGGGCTTGGATCCATTGAAAATCTAACAAACTCCCAACCCGACCCGACCGAACTTGCACCTCTAGGTGGGATCCCCGTCGGGTGAATTCATCATCAGTTGGATTGGGATTTGGAACTTGGAAGTGTTCGACTGGATTTCAGATCGGGCCAACCCGAACAGAAGCCTGGAATTGCCACTCCACCTGCATCTAACTGGTGGGTTTGAAGAAATGACCCATATACCCGTTAATAAAATCTATATATGCAGGGGAAAGAAATATGGACGTGCTTTATTTTCTAGCCGCATGCATGCCCTAATCTTGTTCATTTGTATTAGGGCTGTTCACGGGTCGGGTTGGGTTAGTTTACAGGGGTTTTCCTAACCAATCCGACCTGGTCGGGTTACATGAGGTAGAAACCGAAACCGACCCATTGATAGGCAAAACCGACCTGGTCGGTTTGAGTCGAGTTGGGTCGGTTTGGGTCGGTTTCGGTTTTGCTCCTATACAAAAATGATAGAGAAGCCTAGAACTAGAAGGACACCTAATTCTAATTGTAATTGCCTAATGGGTTGTCTATTTGGTGTAAAAGACTATAAAAATTAGGATAGATACAATTTAGTTAAGTAAGAACTAGAAGATATGGCTGTTCTAGTTCTAGTTCTAGTAGAATACTAGTTAAGTAGAAAACTAGGAACTACCGAACTAGAAAACTAATTGGTTCGGTTTGGTTCGGGTTGGTTTATGATTTTTCCCAACCTGAAATTGACTGGTGCTGATGAAAACCCGGCCAACTCGGGTTGGTCGGTTTGGTCGGGTTGGGCCTTCTTATGAACAACCCTAATTTGTATTGTGTTGTGCCCCAAACAAGGTTCAAAGTATCGCCATGTATCAGCCGATACGTATCGTTTTGAGACCCGTTCAATACGCCCCTATAGTGGGTGTTCGGGGGTCTGATCGGTTCAGGGTGTGGAGGAAGCCTAAACCGGTTCCCCTGAACCAGTTGCGAGAAAAAAAACACCAAAAGCTGTATTGATTCGCCCGATATGCCTGACATATCGAGGTATCGATATTTTAAACCTTGGCCCCAAACACCAAAGAAAGGCCTCCAAGTTTGTTAAAGCTGTTACTCATTCATTGACTTTCCTCTTTCCATCAAAATCCGTGTGATTTTTCAAAAATGACCAATTGTACCTATAATTATAATTATATTCTTGCCAAACTGGAAATTTGGTTTGAATTGTTGATACTTGTTTCGGGTAGGGCTGTCAGTGAGTCGGGCAGCCTCAACAGAACCGGGCCAACCAATCTAATTATATAGTGTCTAGGTCTGTGTCATGTTTCCTAGCTAATTATAGTTGGATTGGGATGAATTTTGGTCGCTCCGAATTGATTATGTATATGAATATTAGCATATTACAAATATACCCCCGATCTAATATCTATTTTCTCATGATGTATTATCAGTGTTAGAGTGAGCCGAATAGGGGTAGTTTAGTAATCTCACGTCAGTTAAGTACTTTTCTTATGTGGTTGTTTTATTAAAGTACTCTGCCCCACACTTAAGTGAGGGCAGTTTAGTCTTTGTAAATGTAATTAGAACCTAATAAACATTAGGGGGTCGACTGAATGGAAGACTAATCAGTTTCGACTAAACCCTCCTGTTCTCTCTTTCTCTTGTCTTCTTCCTTCTTCACTGGTTTGGGTTACTGTAGCTGCTCCAAAACATGGTATCAGAGTGAGGTTTTTGACCTGCTTCTGCTTGTAAAGCATCTCAGCTGGGTTCATGACACCTTCTTTATTTCTGGTTAGTTAATGGAGAGAGCTGGTTCGCCCTAGGTCTGAGACATCACAACTCGTTGCTCTCTGCTGTGCACAGTTTTCTTCATCAAGGAAGGTGATTTCAGTAGTGAATGGTTGGCTAATACTCTCAAAAGAAGGTTGGTTATTTAGTCTTTTTGTGTTGCTGGTATTTCTGGGTAGGAGCCCTTCAAGAATCAGTTAGTACTGATTAGAACCTAGAGAACTAGGTTCATTGTTGCCC